GCTGCAATTTGGGACCTTCCCGATACACTCCCTCTGTTCCTTTATGTAAGGTATATTTGCTTTTTGATAAAAATTCACAAGTAAGGTGTATTTGTTCTAATTCCTCATAATTCTAATCTTGACCCTCTAGAAAAAGGAAAGTATCTCTTCTTATATACAGAAAAAAAGGAAACTATCTCTCTCACGATTGCGTGTATCTCTCCCTTTCCTAGCCTAAAGGTTTATCTTGCCGCTAATCCACAAATTACACAAGGATAATTTCAGCATAAATTGTCTATAATTATATGCCTTGGTCACCGTGCTGGAAATAATAGACCTTACATAAAGGAATAAAGGGAGTATGATATATATAGGTAATTTGAAAAACATCATAACTACAATCCTAACCATAATGACCTGATTTCGCTAATTACAGTAGGCGCTAAATATGGAAAGGGGTAACAAAATACCAAGTATGTTTTATTTGCCTGACACTCCCTTGCAGACACATCAGAGTTTTGCGGAGATTGAGGCTGGTTTGGAGTACAAGAACAAAAGGGGACTACAACCCCTTGGTGAATATGTCCATGAACTATTGACATGACGGGTGACGCCTCCGATTCAATCGTACACTGATTATACATCAAATGTGTGCGATCAAGATCAGGAACTCACGGGAAGATATCACAACACAACTCTAGACACAAATTAAAGTCATACAAGCTTTATATTACAAGCCAGTGGCCTCGAGGGCTCGAATACAAACGAGTCAGCGAAAGCAACAATATCTAACTACATACATAAGGTAAACAAGTTTGCCTTAAGAAGGCTAGCACAAAAATAGCAACTATCGAAAAGGCAAGGCCTCCTACCTAGGAGCCTCCTATCTACTCCTGGTCATCGTCGGCCTCCACGTAGTAGTAGGCACCCTCGGGGTAGTAGCAGTCATCCGCGGTGGCATCTGGCTCCTGGGATCCGCCATCTGGTCGCAACAACCGGGTATAGGGGAGAAAGAGGTAGCAAAGCAACCGTGGGTACTCATCCAAAGTACTCGCAAGACTTACATCAGATCTACACTACATATGCATCGATATCAGTAAAAGGGGTAGTATCTGTGGACTAAACTGCAGAATGCCAGAATGAGAGGAGGAGAAGCTTGTCCTATAGAAGACTATGCTTCTGGCAGCCTCCATCTTGAAGCAGTAGAAGAGAGTAGCTGGTATAGTAACAAGTATCATCACATAGCATGATCCTACCCGGAGATCCTCTGCTCATCTCCCTGTGAGAAAGCAATCTCCGGGTTGTATCTGTCACTTATCTAGGTGTGTTTTATTAAGTATATGGTTTTAGTTGTAAGACGTCCGAATACAACTCCAAGTCATCCTATTACCATGGACACGGCTATTTGAATAGATCAACTTCCCTGCAGGGGTGCACCACATTGCCCAACATGCTCGATCACTCTGGCTAGGCACACTTTCCTGGGTCATGCCCGGCCTCAGAAGATCAACACGTCGTAGTCCTACCTAGACTCAACAGAGAGGCCAGCACGCCGGTCTACATCCTAAGCATGCAAGGGTCTTGGGCCCCTGTCCCTTTGCACTCCTGCACGTTGCATGGACGATCGAGATCAGTCCTGGCTACCTCCTTATACAAGGCAGGTGCTTACGCAGACCGTCCGGGCACGTGCAACTCCATTGCTGACGTCCAAAGAGCTTTCAGGAGAAATCGTACGACGCCAAGTGCCCATAACTATCCTCGTGTGGTGGTTAGTGCGTATAGGTCCACAACCAACTCGGATCAAATATCCAAATCTCGTTAAGCATGTTATTTTGAAGTAACCGTGGATGCCAACTAGGGACCAGGCCCAGCTCTCTCCTAGGTGGTCTCAACCTGCCCTGTCGCTCCGCCACAAAGAATCACTCAGGGGGCCCTCGGAAAAAAAATCCTTTTAGCCCCAAGTCCGTGAATCACTCGCGGGTACTCTATGAGCCGACCCGACTTTAGTCGCAACATGTATCATGTATAATACCCGTGATCACCTCCCGGAGGGACCATGTCCCGATAGTATAGCATGGCAGACGGACAAGAATGTAAGTCCACCGATGGAATACTAGCAACCTATACTAAGCGTTTGAGATACCAGGTAAAGTGTCAAGAATAGTAGTGATGTCTACTACACAACCTTCTTCTTGTAGACGTTGTTGGGCCTCCAAGTGTAGAGGTTTGTAGGACAGTAGCAAATTTCCCTTAAGTGGATGACCTAAGGTTTATCAATCCATGGGAGGCGTAGGATGAAGATGGCCTCTCTCAAACAACCCTGCAACCAAATAACAAAGAGTCTCTTGTATCCCCAACACACCCAATACAATGACAAATTATATAGGTGCACTAGTTCGGCGAAGAGATGGTGATACAAGTGCAATATGGATAGTAGATATAGCTTTTTGTAATCTGAAAATATAAAAACAGCAAGGTAACTAATGATAAAAGTGAGCACAAACGGTATTGCAATGGTAGGAAACAAGGCATAGGGTTCATACTTTCACTAGTGCAAGTTCTCTCAATAATAATAACATAATTGGATCATATAACTATCCCTCAACATGCAACAAAGAGTCACTCCAAAGTTACTAATAGCGGAGAACAAACGAAGAGATTATGGTAGGGTACAAAACCACCTCAAAGTTATCCTTTCTGTTCTATCTATTCAAGAGTCTGTAGTAAAATAACATGAAGCTATTCTTTCGGTTCAATCTATCATAGAGTTCATACTAGAATAACACCTTAAACACAAATCAACCAAAACCCTAATGTCACCTAGATACTCCATTGTCACCTCAAGTATCCGTGGGCATGATTATATGATATGCATCACACAATCTCAGATTCATCTATTCAACCAACACAAAGTACTTCAAAGAGTGCCCCAAAGTTTCTATCGGAGAGTCAAGACGAAAACGTGTGCCAACCCCTATGCATAGGTTCATGGGCGGAACCCGCAAGTTGATCACCAAAACATACATCAAGTGGATCACGTGATATCCCATTGCCACCACAGATAAGCACGGCAAGACATACATCAAGTGTTCTCAAATCCTTAAAGACTCAATCCGACAAGATAACTTCAAGAGGAAAACTCAATTTATCACAAGAGAGTAGAGGGGGAGAAACATCATAAGATCCAACTATAATAGCAAAGCTCGCGATACATCAAGATTGTGCCGTAGAGAGAACATGAGAGAGAGAGAGAGAGAACAACCACATAGCTACTGGTACATACCCTCAGCCCCGAGGGTGAACTACTCCCTCCTTGTCATGGAGAGCGTCGGGATGATGAAGATGGCCACCGGTGAGGGATCCCCCCTCCGGCAGGGTGCCAGAACGGGCTCCCGAGAGGTTTTTGTTGGCTACAGAGGCTTGCAGCAGCGGAACTCCCGATCTATTGTT